GGCACATCTCTTGGCCTAAACCCAAACCACCTCAAAATAGTTCTTAGAGAAAATCTTATGGTGGATTCAACTTAAGGGCAAGAAAGCCAAGATTTAAGAAAACGAGAGGACATGCCCTACGACTTGATCCAAAACTACCTTGGAGTGGTAGAAAGTTTAGCTAATGACTATAAATAAAGTGCTTTTTGGAAGGCAACCCAAGCATAAATTTTTTTTTCTTTTATTTTTTTGTTTTTTATTTTAATAGTTTAGATTTTTTATTTTTTATTTTTTTTCTCTTTACGGCCCAAATTAATGCATAAATGGTTGTTCTTTCATTTTGGCCATGTCATTGAACAAGTTTGTGGGACAAGATTATGGAAATTCACATGCTAGAAGTCTCCTCTAAATAAAGACGACTCAACTTCATAACTTAAATTTTAAGTCTTCAAGTGCAAAACCTAGGAAGTTTCTCTTTTCTTTTACTTCTATTTTACGTTGAGGACAATGTTTGATTTAAGTTTGGGGGAGAGAATAATTTTTAGGTGTCCATTCTTACATTAGTTTACATTCATATTTGCATGACATACTTTTTTTTTTCCTTTTTTTAGAAATTAGGGTATTTTTTTAGGAGTTGGTCCAATTAGTGTCAAGGAATTGGAAATTCTTGAGTTGGAGATTCAAAAACTTCTAATCTTTAAATCTTAGAGGAGATACAAAATCTGAAAAATAGTACCATTGTGATGAAGTTTAAGTTCATGAGTATTCTATTCTATTTGAGCACAAGTTTGTAGTGAGAAGTTTAGAGAGAAGACTTAGTAGCACCTAAAAAGCACATAAAAAAAAGAAAAGAAAAAGAAGCCAATACAAAAGAGTTTATTAATTTCTACTCCAATGTTTCTAGTGCTTAGTAATTGGGGGTTAGGCATGAGACCCATGTCAACTTTCACGTCAAATAGCAACTTGAAATATGAGTATGCAAAGCACTTTAAGTTTATGACTTGTTGAGTAACCGGATGCTTTCATCACAAATGTTAGTATTTATGTTAAAAGACAAGTGATAGCTTAAAGAAGAATGTGTTATATGGCTGGAAAAAAAAAAAAAAAGAAGAAAAAGAAAAGAAGTCGAATGTTTCGTGGCATTTGTTACTTGAGTAAGTATGTTCTTAGGGGTGTCTCTTCACCTAGTGCCCTAAAACCAACTAGTTTGGGAGTCATTGAAAAAAAGCTCGTTACATGAGTAATTTAAAAAGCCTAAGGAAACTTGACATATGAAAAAAAAAAAAAAAAAGGAGAGGGAAGAAATAGAAAAAAATAGTAATAAGTGCTAAAGTGTGAAGGTCTAAACTTGAACTTCTTACTAAGAATTTCCACACAAACACTAAGTGCTCATGGGCTAAATCTTTTAACAAGTGGTGTGAAGAACAGGATGAGTATTTGATTTTAAGTGAGCATATGAACACTCTTGAATATTTGAGACTTTGTATCTAATTAAACTTTAATTCCTAAATTTTCTTTGGATGCATATCACGTAGTTGCATTATTGCATTGGGATTTTGTGGGTAGATTCGCTGAAAACCCTCACGAAACACAACTCGTCCACTAGGGTGACCTAGGGGTTTAAAGACTTGTTGCACATGCTAAGTGCAATCGTGGCTCCTATAAAAGTGAGTTAGGTATTATTTTTTTTTTTAGTTATTTTCTTTTTAGTTTACTTGAGGACGAGTAAAACTTAAGTTTGGGGGAATTTGGTGCGGTGAGCGTGGATTCGACCTCTGCATATGGTTTGTTAAGGTTCTTAAATTTTGTGTTATTACTCCCTTTATTCTCTCTTTGTTACAGAGTTTTAATATCTTTTTATTTTGCTACTGTTTATGCAAGTGTGACAAAAAAAAAAAAAGTCTTCTGTTCCACTTTTCAAACTATTAGAGCATGTTTGATGAAGTTTGTAAGAGCCTCAGCTTTTTGATACTATTCATATTCCATAAATTTAAATTTTCCTCTTAAAAACCTTACATTTTTTAATTTTTTTAACCTTAAAAAAACCTTAAACAGTAAATTTTGAACAGTTTTAAATTTGTACTTTTTATAAACTTTCTTTTTACTCACTTTTTTTTTTTATTTCTAAAAGTAACTTTTAAATTTTCCCTTCAATAAAAATTTAAACTTATTACTCAAAAATAGTATTAAAAAGTAAAAACTCTTTCAAGTTTCATCAAACATACTCTAAGTATCTGCTAGTATCAAGGGAATCTCTTGGACATTTTTTTAAATGCAATAGGATTATAAATAATTGCTTTAGTACATCTGGCAAAGTAATTACTTTTCTTAATGGAAGGGTTTAAGATACTTTAAAATTTTGATGTGATTAAGGGTGGGCATCGGGCGGTTTCGGGTGCAACCGAAACCGAGATCACAGTTAATCGAGTTTTTAATTTTTTATTTTGACAACTGACAACCGAACCAAAATGTTTCAGGTTTTATTGGTTTTGGGCATATCGGTTTCGGTTGGCAAAGCATGAATTTCGGTTTTTAACCGAATTTTCAATCAAGCGGCAACAATTTTTCGACAGTGAATCATCGAAGGCATAAGAAGGAGACGGTGGCTATGGCAGTGGAAACAAGAGAATAAATCCAGTACTAATATGGAATTTTATTTTCAGATCTAGACTCTACAGAAAGATTAATTAAAAAAGAAAGGAACAAAGAGAAAGGATTAAAGAAAAGAAATGGATTTTTGGTGTAGAGTTGAGATTTGAGAGAACAAAAAGGAGTGAAGAAAAAGGGAGAGTCAGAGAAAAAGGGTTTTGAGATGGGAGATGGGTAGGAGAAGACGAATACCGGAAACAAGAAAAGTAAGAAGTGAAAAAAAAATAATGAGATTAAAATCGAATGCCCCAAAACAAATTAATTATTTAATCTAGTAGATGAGATAAAATCTTGATGACATCATATGGAATTCAACATTCAAAGAAAGTAAGAAGTCAAAGATTACCTAGAAAAGCGAAAAAGCAAGCAGAAGGGTAGGAAGTAAAAAAATTCAAAAGAAAAAAAAAAAAAAGGCTATGCTTGTCGATTGTCTAGGCCTACTCATGTGGTTGTCGGTTGTTGGGCCTAGGAGCTGACAACCGCTCGCTTGGGCCTTCGGTTACAACCACAACCAATGCTCAGCTCAACCGATTACAAAAAAAACCTCACCCATCGGTTGTGGTTACGGGCGAGCACGAGCTTTTTTGCGGTTACGGTCCCAAATGCCCAACCCCAGATGTGATTAGTGGACATGGTGAAGGGCGATGATTGGTGTCTTATAGGATTTGATTACAAAATTATGGTGGCGTATCCCTCTGACTTTTATGGATCCAAGCACACCAAATTCCATCTGTCTTTCTCAGTGATTCAATAATTCATATATAGATCCAACTTCATGAACCATGCCATTGAAAGGGTTTATTGGAAGGGCATTTTTGCCACTATATTCGAGTTTAAGGGGTTGTTTGTAACTCTTTTTGGTTGAGGGGCTGACTTGCATGATTTGTAACCTTTGCAATTTGATTAAATATTAACTCAATAATTTTTTTGGAGGTTTAGAGGCCAAACTATGGGCTTTCCACAAGGAAACAAGAGTGCCTTCAATCTTTTGTCCTCTTTAAGGGTCAAACATCTCGAGGCCCAAAAAAGGGTAGAAAATCTGCACCATGGGTTTTTCGTTTGGTTTTTTTGTCTTCCAACAATCAGCCCAAAGGAGATATAAGATCTTGAGTTCCTGCAGCAAAATGGGTGGAAGAGATTTAGAAATGAAGGTTCCATGCGTGGAATCAAAATTACGAGTATTTGCCTTTAGAATCACCTTTTCCAGTCAGGTATTTTTAGAGGGTTTGTATATTTGATGTCTTATGCTGGTATTTTGGAGGAGATTTTGTGCTTAACTATTATGTTTTTCTTCAGGTTGATGACTTAAGATCTAATCTAAACACAATTAATAATGCGACTAAAGAGGTACATTATTTTTAAGCTCAGAATATCATGAAATACAATTGCTCTCCCTGCATTTAAGATGTCAAGTACATGCTTTCAGTTCAAAGAGTCTGTTAAGTTGCGTCAAATAATGCAGACAATTCTTACTTTGGGAAATGCTCTGAATCAGGGCACTGCACGAGGTAAAGTTCTTCAGTTGGTCTTGACTAGTAATCTGCCAAAATTTGGTGTTCTTATACTTTTCATTTTGTTCCCCCCCCTTCCCCCTTCCCCCTTTTTTTTTCTGTAGTATCTGCTGTGGGATTCAAATTGGACAGCCTTCTTAAATTGTTTGATACTCGTGCAAGAAACAACAAAGTGACTTTGATGCATTACCTTTGCAAGGTAATCTGATTTTCCAATGGCAGTGGTCGCTGGTTTAATGATTGTTTTGCATAGCATTCTATAAATAAATGTAGTGCGCAATCTAGTTTAATAACCATTTTAGGCTATTCTATATTCCTTTCCTTCTCTCTTGTTTTCTCATCTATTAACTTCCGAGGTTGGAGGTTGCTGAAGTTGTTGATTCCCATTTCATGTAGTGCGCAGTCATTTATTGATTTACCTTCTTATATATAAAACTTAAAAAATTTAGAGTCTCAACAGTGCTCAAAACACTGCTGATGTATTGGGAAAAAAATAAGAACAGGGGATTAGCAAAATCAGGGTATAACAGGAACTTTATTGATTTTATGAACATTATAAGAATATTTTACCCCCATTGTTTATTGTGATCAACTATTGTTACTATACGTGCTTTTATTGCTCTGTGATAATAAGAAATCAATATACTTGTGTTTACACCTAATTTTACAACAAATGGAGTGCTGCCACGTGTCACCCATGATGGCAGATATTTTATTAGTTAGTGTGAATTTCTTCAGATGAGATTGAGTGGTTATTTCCACAACGGCAGCAAAACCGTTCTTTTGTTGCAAGCTTCCCGGAGGATAATTGCAGCACCAACAAATTAATCAATTTGTTGCAGATATTACGCTGTCGTTGGTTTTTCAGGATGCTGCTGCAGATCTCCACCATGCTGCCAAGGTGTTATAAATAACTAATGATAAGATCAAGCAAGGGATCGACATCTCACACAACAGACTCAGCACAACTTCTCTTTATACTCAGATTCATCTTAGTTTCAAGCCCTTTAATTTAATTTTAGCTCTACGCTTCAACCTAGATTAGTTTAGCAATTCGGTTCTTTTTTTGTCGAATTTGTAATGGTGAGTTTCATTGCTTTCAGTAATATTTCTTTGTAATCGGATTGCTTCCTTTCCTTTATATTTGTTTTTCATATTTTCTTTAATTTAATCAAATGATGTCGACATTTAATTTCATGTTCAGTTCCATTTCTGTTAATTTACATTTCATGCTGCCAGTAGATTTTTCATGCTTCAGGTTTTATTTACTTTAACTTAATTTACTTTTATTGCAATTAAATTTCCTTTTAAAGCTCTGTTTCAATTCAGTTTACGTATTTAAAGTTCATTTAGATTTTCAGTAGTTTAGCGATCATTTATTTACCTTGCAGTCTTAACTTTTCTTGATTACATTAGCTTTGAGGAGTCCTTGGAATCATATCCAGGGCATTTTGTCGAATAACCCATTTAGTGCAGGAAGTTCATCCCTCGTTTCTGCCAATCGTCTGATCTTTAAGGTGCAATTCACGACGTTCTTCCATCAACTCACAAGCTGAGTTCCACGCTTGGAAAGAAGAGATGGTCGTCGGAGAAATCTTTCTTGTTTTGAGCAAAGCAAGTGGCACGCCATTTCATCTGCCACGTGTCAAGGAGATTTTTTGGGATAACAATCTCTTTTTGGCACGCCCAGTGGGACCTCCTACTGGCGATTATCTATCAAGAAAAGTTTTTTAATCCTCTTTTTGCTTTTCCTGGGCATAAAGCAACCAGAGCCATGCCTAGGAGAGTTGGAAAAGAAATTGCACAACAAGTGGATGTGGCTCCTGTGAGTCCAAGACATTCTGAAGGTGAAAATAGTCCGAAGCATCTTCCACCTATTTCTCCCTTGGCTGATCGATCATATGGCAATCCCATATATCGCAATGATGATGAGGAGAAAGTTGATTCTGCTGAGTCAAGCAATAAAATATCTCAAGAACTTCAGCAGATAAGAAAGCTACAAGAGGAAGCCAATCAGAACATGGAACGTAGTCTACAAAGCTTTCTACAAGCCCAACGAAAACATTCAGATCATTTCACTCAATGTTTGAATGTTATTGAAAGGGCCATTCATGACAGTTCTCGAGCTATTCGAGAAGAAGTAGCAGAAAGTCGCAGAACCTTCACTGTAGCTTCTGAGAGAACCATGGAACATGTTCGACAGCAACAAAATGTTCCAAGGCAACCCGTATCTCCAGCAATGGAATTGCCACAGCAAAATCTTCCAGATCCTTTGCTCGGGGGGCACGGGGGGCATATTAATCAGCCACAGGTGGTGCAGCAAATGCCCAATGCTCAAAATAATGCTCTTGGTGCTGGCCAAGTGCAGTTTAATAGGCAGCAGCAAAACAATCCTGCTGGTGGCATCTTTGGACCACAAGATCCTATGGAAGCAGCATTCCGTGCAGCTGAGCAGTTCAACGCCAATCAACAAAGATATGCACCCCCTGCACGGCGTCCAAATGCTGTCCCACAACCCAATTTGCAGAATAATGTTTTTCAACCACTAGGGCTACAAGCAGCAGCTCCTCCCTTGGATAGAAATCAACTGATTGATCTAGTCCATGAGACATATGGTCCAGCTCTGAGACCATTGGTTCGTCCTTCCTATCACAAGCCGTATCCAGATTACATAGATCAGGATAATCCATTTCCTCGTGGATTCAAAGTGCCTGAATTTACTTTGTTTTCTAGGGATGCAAGCCAGTCAACCATTGAACACATTGGTAGGTTCACTATTCAATGTGGGGAGGCATCGGGTGATGATTTTTTGAAGTTGAGACTCTTTCCA